CCCCCTTTTTTTTTTTTTTTTTTTTGCCAAGATGAATTAAATATTGTCCTTTCTTTCTTTCTTTTTTTTTGGCAAAGTTAAGACCTCAGCCACAGTCTCTTTCATGGCTGTACAAGTAAGTTACCGCCATAAGTACTGCATTGCCATGACAGCCATAGAAAGGAAGATTAGGAAGGAGGAAGGCAAAGATTTGCTGCTGGCCCCATTTATACCCCGTCCAGAGTGGTTAGGAATAGCATGTGTTCCTGGCTGTCTGGTGCTGGAGCTCTTAGAAAGTCTTTTACCGCAGACTTCATCAGGACAGCCGTCGCCGCTCCCAGAGCCACTCATGTCATCACCTACGCAGAGGGAAACACAGGGTGAGGTTGGCAACTGCTCAGTGTGGAAAACACCTTCAGGTCAAGATAGCCCCTGGTTCCAGGAGCTAATATCTCAACCAGGCCAGTGCAGAGACGATGTGATGCCTCAGGCACCTGAGAGGAATGAACAACACTGAGTCCCTCTTTTTCTCTGCAGTCCTATGAATGGTCTATTTGCACATCGGTATGTGCATGCATGTACACATACACAGGGGATACATGCACTGGAAAGAACCTGGCATGGTAGTGAAGCTGGTGGGTGAACTAGCTGCTGTTCATGAGTTTATGTGACTGCCATCTATATGGCAGAGGCACTAATGAATCATTTAGATCCCCATCAAACAAGCACTGGTAACACTGAATTGCACTCTGGGTAGAAAAGGGACATTGCCAAACTCAAGTATCAGTTGTGGTGGGACATGTTCTGCCCCAGCTTATCTACTTTAGTGGGTGAAACACAGGTTGCCATTGTCCCACATCCCTTGCCTGGGGATTCCCTGCAGCCCCTGCTGCCCCACCACTCCTTGCCAGGACCCACGCAGGGTCAAGTGCTGACCTGTGCCTCACGTGGAGACATGGGTCAGTGCAGGTCCCAGCATGGGGTGGCATGGAGGTGCAGGGTGGCACGGGAGCCAGCAAATCCCTGGCATCCCATGCCTCCCTGCCAGGATCCATGTGTCCCCACGAAACATGGGTCAGTGCAGGACTCAGTATGTGTATCAACATGGAGGCACAGGTCACTGAGAATTGTCTAGCTCCTGCACCACCCCACACCTCCTTTCTGGGACCCATGCTGACTTGTTTCACAAGGAAACAGATTGGCATGGAGTGGCATGGGAGTCCCTTGTGCCCTATGCCTCCACATAAGACCTCCCTGTGCTGCCCCCTGCCCCTTCATGAAGCACAGGTTGGTGGTTTTCCCACTTACACAGATGCATCAATGGGTACTCCAGGGGCATGTCTAGGTGAGCAGGAAAGCTGCACAGGTGCTCCGAGGGCCTGAGGGGCCTGATTCTGCCCCAGGAATTCCTGAGGTGCACAGGATCAGCCCCCTGAAGCCCACCAGGGATGATGGCTGGAGATCAGTGGCAGCTCTGGGCTGACAGCACTTTCCCGCCATAAGCAAATAGACATTCACTACAATTAAGTAGCACAAATTCTCACTACCATCTGTTGTGGCCACTTGGGCATTTGTGGCACAATGAAAAAGTATGGACATCTGTTTGCTTTCACTTTGTGCTGCCATAAAAATTCTTACAGTGGCACAAAGGCAATGTCTATTTCCACCCTCTGAAGTGCAGAGAGGCTTCTGCACAAGGCTGGGCTCACACCAGCCGGCACCAGTCAGGACATGGGCAGCTGCTGCCTGCTGGGGGAGGGTGGGGGAAGTAGTAAGTGGGACTCTGAGCAGTGTGGAGTGCAATACTCAGGCTTGTAGGTGACAATGGTGGGTCACTTCTCACTCAGATTACTGGAGTATCCTCTAGGGTACAACAACATAGAAAACTGTAGCACAGAACTGGTTTGCTTAGGGTTTTGAAATGTATGTCCTGCTTTGAGAGAGTGATGATGGTCCAACAGGCACTCCAAACAGGATCCTGGAATTGACGGCCATTTAAAACAATGAAAGAAGGAAAGCCCAGTCTAATTCAAATCCTAATTTCCACTAAGAGCCCATATGTGCACCAGGCAGCTTGCCATTGTTTCGTTTTAATGAAACGTCTGGTGCAATATTAATGATTTATGTACGGAGGAGTCTTCATGTTTGGAACAGCACACGAAAACATTAAAAAGGGCAGAGTTTCTCTTGAGACTCTCGCTCCTGTAGAAAAATTTTGAAGATGAATTTAAAAGGAACCACAGGCTTTAGAAAAGTCTGTATGTTACCCTACACAGCATGGCAGATTAGCTCATGTTGAGCTCTGAGCCACTGTGGCTAAACTCTTATCAGCACCCAGACTAACTAGTTTAAGTTATCTGGGTATCTACTCCACTAGTCGCCTCTGCGAGTTCAGTGGAGACAGGCTCTGTATCTGTCTTTAAATAGCTTTATCCCTACTTTCTTCATGCAAATGACATGCTGAAGGCTTTTCAAGAAGCAGGTTGAAAAAGTCAGAGAGCAAAACACTGTTCTCTGGGGAGGATTGTTAATTGGCTGAGATGAACAGCATGGCTTTGGGTTACATTGCAATAATGGCACATGCGGTTTTCATGGACAATTCAGCTAATTGTTATGGCATCGGCAAACAGTCTTTAATAAAATGGGATGGAAAGGTATGCTCCTGGGATTTGTTCATTTAAAAAGAAGTGCCCAGAAAAATGTTGGTTCCCTTGCAATTTGGGATGTAAAAGAATTCAAAATTCAGAACTGCCTATGTGACTGTGCAGCGCCATGCAGCAGGAAAAAATTCTTCATGGATGCTAAAGCTTACATGAAGTACTGAGTTTGAATATGGCCACAACCATTTCAGCCTTATCCCTAGGTTGATTTTGCCTTAATAGAGCAGTAGGCTCTACATGTTTGACAAAACAAAAAAGAGGTAGCAAGGAGGCAATGCTCATTAGCTGAGATGCAAAATCAAAGACTTTCCATTCCACAGTGGCAGGTCTGGTGAAAGCCAAATAAGACATCGTCTTTCTCTGGGTAAGAGAAATAGTCCTGTGGAAGGCAGGGGTAAGATGTTGCTAACCATCATCAGTGCAAGCTGTCAGTAATGCACTGTACTCTGTTGTTCTAATGTTGTTTTGGATGCTGGGATTTAAACACATGCACATTCCTTCCCATAATAGGGACCAGCAGTCTTGATGGAATGAGGCCTTATACATTCTTTAAGGCAAGGCCTGCATTATACCTAGTATGTGGAAAGTGCTAATCCATTTTGGATGGTACTGAAATGGTGCAATAAAACAGAGAATAAGCCACAAAGTTATTACAGAAAAAATGCGTAAAAACTTTGTGGCTGGTTCCCACTGCACCATAAATTGAACATGTGACCAGCACTGATCCCAACCCAGGGTGCAAAACAGAGCCTTGAAGGGCTTGGATAGACTCCTGTGGCTGGGAGCACCAATCAGCTGATCAGGGCTGCCAGCCACAGGAACACATGGAGCCCTTAGCTCTGATGCACTCCCATGGCCTGGAGTGCCCATCAGCTGACTGGTGTTCCCAGCCATGGGAGCACCAAGCAACCTACTTGCTACTTGCTGGTGTGGGGCAGCTGGAGATAATGATCCTGGGCTTCTCCTGCACTGGCAATATGGCATGACCGGCAATATGGCAATGTGGTCTGCACTGGCAATATGGTCTGATTCCTGATCCCACAATCGTGCCTCCTGCCCTGCATGTGTGGCATGGCAGGGGGTGTGATTGTTGGGATCGTGGATCAGATCCCATCATGCCCTTGATTAAATGTTAGTGGCCTCAGATATTGCTCATCATTTCTAGTCTGCCTGCATCTTGGTGCTCATTCCTTGGGGTTTCTGGCATACTCACTTGCATCCTGGAAATCCACATCATTCCCGTTGTATGCATTGCGCAGGCGGTTGGTCATGATCTTTAACTGCATGATTTGCTGACGGATGGTCATATCTGGTTTGGTGATGTCCACCTCCACCTCTGGATTGTTAATCTGATTGGCCAAACCATCTCCCATCACCTCCGGTAGATACCTAAAAAGGGAACCAGTGTGTTGATAGTTTTTTCCCAGAGCAATGTTCACTTTCTGGCATTATGGATGCTATAACAAAATAAAATTTACTGTCTCTAGGATGCTGATACCAACAATTTCCCTGTGGTACCTACTTGCACTCTTAACACTGCCTCCTCACATTGCTGGGTTGCTTGTGTTTCTACTTAAGCTCCTGCACAAGGCACCTTCTCAGTTCCCACCTGTTTAGTTGCAGAGATGTCTCAGGCACTAGAAGTAATGCAGGGCCTCTGCTCAGTGAACACAACTAGATTCCAGGGTACTACACCAAGCACTGAGTAAAACTGGGTTGCAGCTCTACACCTGGCAGCACATAGAGAAGGAATGGATACAATAGAAGCTGACAGTCTCAAATCTTAAGTGCTATTCTCTTCCCTATCAGTGGTTCCAATGCAGACTGTTATATGCTGTGAGCTAACAGACCCAGAGACATTGCACAATATATGGTTATTCCAGTTCTCTATAACAAGGCTGAAGTGGCCTTTTGAGTCTCTTGCAGAGGAGATCATCGCATCCTTAGTGTTTATCTCAGTTGCAGGGGCAGCAGGCTGGGCTGAGGATTTCGCCTAATACTGTCACCAGTGAAGTTGGCCAGGTGACCTCCCAGGTATTACACTGAAAATGTTCATTATTGCGAGGAGGATTATGAAACTGTCATGTCATTACTGAATCTGGACAGATGCCCCTGAGGCTGACAGCTCTGTAACTACCGGATTCACCTCCTGATCAGATTGACGGGGCAGCTAGTGGAGACTTCTATCCAATTAGCTGGGAGCTCATCAACTAGTGATTAAAGCAGTATTTCTCACTCTTCAGTTACTGTCCATCAGTCACTCAGAAAAATCTATTGAGAAACTCTGGCATTTCCATATGCTTCAAGAAGGCATTTTGCAAACAGAGGCCCAAATTCCCAGCTGATGTAAAAGCAGCATAGCTCTGCTGAAGCAAATGGAGCAAAGGACGTGCTACAGCTGTGGATGGGGCACACCAAGTAGTATTTTAAGGGGAAGCTCTGGGAATAGAGTATTTCTGTGGATGCAGAATTTCAGCTGGGTGCACCTGGAGAGGGCAAGTGTTTCAAAAGTGTGACAGCTTAGGGGGAAAAAGAACATTTGCAATGCCCAGCTGTACCTCTGGGTTTTTCCCTAAATTGAACCCCTCTAATTCCCCGATAGAGTTTACTGCATTTTAGACATATGTAAAGCTTAGCTGGTCATTCTGTGATAGGCCTACTCTTGATGCTTAGAAGTCTAAGAACACAGAGACACAGAAACATACTTTAAATTCAAGGTACCAGTTTTTCAAGATCACCTCAGAACAAGGGTTAAACTTGATCCTGAGACAGGAGCACTAAAGCACTCAAACCAGGTGTGGGCAAAACACAGCCCGGGCTGGATCTGGCCTGCCAGGCAATTTCATCCATCCCATGGGCACTCACCAACTAATTTTACCCCACCCAGCCCACACACATTGCTCCCATCCTCGTGGGCAGAAGGGCCCGGCTCAGCCAGTGCATAGCTTCCAAGTGGGGCCGCTGCAGCCACTGACAGACCTGCTCAGCTTCCCTGGTGTCCCGCTTCCTCCAGACACCAGGTGGGGAAGCGGCAGGGGCAGGGGGGAGCTGCAGCTGGGCAGGAGCGCAGACCACAGGGCTGGGGCTGGCGGCAGCGCAGAACCCGCACCCAGGGAGGCGGCGGGAGCGCCAAGCTCGGGTGGCCAGGATGGGGGTGTGAGGGAAGGTGTAGGGGTGTGGGGACCCCACACACATTCCCCGCCATAGCACACAGCCCCCACAACTGACTGCACCACCAGCAGCAGCAGGTGGAAGGCACTTGGGGTGCTCGTGCCCTGTGCAGGCACTGCTGCCCAGAGGCACACGGCTCCAGCCAGTGCTGCACATGGTGACAAGCAGCACAGCCAGGCCATGCCTACCTCTATCATGTGGTGTACGTGCAGCTCCCGGCACTCGCACACCACCAGGGTAAGCCCTGTGCGATGGAGCTGGCTGTATTTGCCGCTCACTGCCATGTGGGTCCCAGGACTCTGCCAGGAAGCGGAGTGCAAGGCTGTCCTGCACTTCCAGCAGTGTCCTGGGACCCGCAAGTTTAACCCTTGTTCTGAGATGATCTTGAAAAACTGGTGCCTTGAATTTAAAATATATTTCTGTATCTCCGTGTTCTTAGTCCTCTAAGTATCAGAAGCAGGCCTATCACAAAATGACCAGCAAAGCTTTACATGGTGGTGGGGGCTGTGAGCCACCGGGGGGGAGGGGGATGGGGGAGGAGATACTCCTGTAAGGAATTACACCCCACAAATGCCAGACACCCACACCCTGTCCCCACAACCCCCCCACATATACCCTACACCCCAACATACCCTATTGCCCCCCCCCACATACAGCCACACCGCCTCACAAACCCCTCACCACACCCCTGCACACCCACCATATGCACGCCCCCCACCCCAACCACACCCCATACCCCCCACACAATACACAGGAGTAAGACTTTATCTTTGAGTTATTATGCAATCACCTCTATATACACTACACAAACACAAATCATGACAAAAATGTTTTTGGTAATAAAATTAAAATATGTTATAGTAGGTGTTTAACTTAGTATATCATTTGGTTTTTCTGGTTTCAAGATGGAACTCCAAAAGGAGTACTTCCGGGGTGCAAGGGGAGGGACTTCTGGTGGCAAAGGTCATGGGTTAGGGGCAGGATGTCCAGTCGGAAGATGGTGACCAGAGGCCCCTTGTCGGGGGAGGGGCACTTGTCAAGGGGTGGGGCAACCATTGCAGCCCTCAACAGCTCACCAAAACTAATTAAGTGGCCCTCCAGCAGAAATACTTGCCTGCTGAGATTATGAGGCCATAAGAATGTGCAGCCTCAGAGCTGTCAGTGGGATATGCTTTGGGCTGTTCTGTCTAGGCCTTGGTCAGCACCAAAGCACAAAGGGATTTGCTTGATATTCTGTGGTTGGGTAGGGGGCAGCGTGTCAAGTTATGAATGTGAGAGGGAAGAACTCACACAACAGAGCTCCTGCAGCCCTCTTGGGCTGGTGTGGGCTTGAGTAGGATTGAAACAACTGAAAAAACTTTCTGGCAGGGGCAGGTGTTATGATTTGCCTTACCTCCCTCATAATGGGATTTACATTCACAGGCTGTAAGGGTTCATGAAGCAGGGATGCGGATGGATTTCACTTCTCTGCACCATCTATTTCTAGAAGCAGCACAGTTTTAGTCTGTAGGCTTTCTGGCTCTCTTTGCCACACCGCTTCTTACCTGCCCTTGGTCATTCCATTCCAGCACCTGTCCTCATTCACTGAGCCAGCTGTTATCCTCTCATTGCAAAGTACACTGGGAAGAATGACCCAGTAATCCTTGATATCTCTCAGCTTCCCTTTGGCATCTGACACCTGTAAGGGAAGGGAGAATAGGGTCTCAAGAAAACACTTGTTAAACTCTGGAGGCTGATTAGTTCTCCCAAAATTGTCTGGACTCAATAATATTGGGCATCTTTTTTCATACGCAGAATAATGACACCCTTAAATAACAACCCGCTGCCCAAGAAGCTGGGAAGATGGGCCACTGTTTTCCTCAAAGGACCAACTGTTCCAGTACGCCTGTCTTATAAGCACCACGACTGGTTAATACTTCTGTATCACAACCAACCTGCTAGCTCTTTAGTGGCACTCCTACCCAACTCCACCTGTTGCAGTGATCTGGAGAGAGGAGACTGGCCCACAGATCATCCTGGAAGCGGCAAGGACACAGGATTCTCTGTAGTTATTGGAGGACACTGTGGGGTCCTGAGTGACCAGGAGAAGGGAGTGAGGACGTGGGGATGTTGTGAGAGTGTGGGCAGCCAGCTGGTGTTGGAATGCAGACAGAAAGTCAGAAAACTGGATCTGATGGGGAACTATGGAGTAGCTACAAGAAATGGATTTCTTTTGGCTAGGGGGAAGCTAGAACAGGAGAAAGTAGCAGGGCTGGGAGTAATACAGAGTGGAAGATGCTGAAGAGTTAATGATGATCCAATATCCTATTGCCCACAGAATCAGAAATGTCCAATAAAGGCAACCATGGCCCAACAATAAGGTGAGGTTGCAGTGAGATAATATATCATATTACCCCTCTCCCCAACACCAGAAGAAGAGAAAGCAGGTGTGGGAGGGCAAGGGCCTAAGACAGCAGTTCCAAGTTAGACAGAAAACCAAATAATGGTGGGGATCAAGCTCAGTTGTGTGGTGCATGCACAATGAAGAGAGCTCAATGAGAATGTGCCATGCAGCCAAACAGGATGTGGCCTCAGCTGCTAGAGGCCAGTGACCTCTCAATGCTCAATGGCATTGCTCAGTGACCTCCTAATGCTCTGGCAGCTCCTGCCAGAGCTCACCAGCATGGGGGCTGTCCAGAGTTCCTGCTTTCAGGGTGGCAGTGACAGTGACACTCAGTGCCTGCATGCTGCTGCTTGTCCCCTTTCCCCAACTGCTGAATTAGGAGGTGGAAAGGTTGGGGGAGAAGGGAAGAGAAGAGCAAACAGCAGCAGGCTCTGGAGCTGCTTGAAGGCAGGGTCTCCAGATAGGCCAGCCAGTGAGTTCATAGAGCTCACATGCAGCAGGAGATGCATCTACTGGCCTGAGAGCTCACTGCACGTGCAGCACACAGCCAAAGCAGAGGCAGGTGGGAATCGGCAGATGGCACACGAATGCCTAGGGCTGGCTGGCTTATGCTGTTAGCCTTATGGACCACACATCTTTACGAGCCTGGGCTGTTCCACCGGTCTGGTTCTAGGGAGCCAAAAGTTGTCTTAAATGGAACAACAAAAACATGGGACTGTAAGGGACCTCAAGAGTACATGTAGTCCACCTCCCTGTGTGAGGTAAGATCAAGGCTACTTAGACCACTCCTGATAGACATCTATTTTGCCTGGTTTTGAAAACATTCAATGAAGGAGATTTCACAACGTCCCTCAGTATCTGGTTCAGTGTTTCACCACGCTAAAGACTAGTGACATCATTCAAGAAGCAGTTACAGGCCAGGAACTTTCCCTATGTACTAGGCACACATGAGTGTTTACTGGAAACCCACCACAGGCCAGAGTATAGTCTAGGGCTTGCCTCTGAGCTTGCATTGCACAGAAGTGTGCCAATTGCAAAAAGGGTTGGTGAGCCACAGTGCAAGTACAAGACTGCATGCTTGGGCTAGTGACGGTGTCAATACCCAGTGTGGATAAGAACAAGATGTGAACATGTAGCTCACATGGGAACAACGTGGAAGTGCTTTCTAAGCAAATGCAGAAATTTCTAAGATACACTTACTAGCTTCTCCAGTCCAAGTCCTGAGGGCTTATCATCTGGGGCGGTTTTTCCCCTCCTTTTCTTATCTTCTCCACTGGATGCTTTCGTACTGATTTTGGGATTTCCACAACCTTGGAAAACCTGAGAAAAAAGAAAATCCCACAGTCAACAACTTTCCCTCTTAACCAGCACTGTATTTATAACTTTTCCTGTTCAAAGTCTCTTTGAATCATCCATTTACTATCATTTAATCATTTAGGAGCTTTCACCAAATCTCTAGCAATTTTGTCCTTCCTTTAATATTCTATCTGCTCTTTGAAGGAAAAAAGGCCCTACCCTTCCATTTTCCACCCACCCTAGCATACCATCCTAAAGACTAGGTTCAACTTCACATGCAAAGCCCAGTGAGACTGTAATGTCACTAGATCAATGCCACCAATTTAATACAGAAACACAACTCATCCCCAATTCATCCAGGGGAGCATGCAGATAGAATCACTCTTAGCAAGGATTGTTACCAAGAGGGATTGAAGGGGGTGGGGAGAGGAGGGATGCTTACTTCCTTTTTATAATTACATAAAACCACATGAAGACACTTGTTTCTAAAGCAGCCTATTGGCTCTGGCAACTCTGTCTGCTGTAGAAGAGTTCTGCAGTGCTCTGGTCTTGATCTCTCCTGTAGTTGTTATACATGGTGCACGTCTAAATAGTAACCTTTAAGTTGTTAAATCATTTACAGTCCAACATTAATATTTCAAAGGAATGAACTAGCAAAACCTAATAACTAACTTTTGTTTTCTCACCAATGAATGGGCATTGATGGCTAGTGCTTGGCTCTGGCATATGGAGCAAACCATAGAGACAAAACTGGTCTCTATAATATATTACATATAGGATAATAGATGCCCCAGTATGTTATAATTAGGTACTGCAGCAAACAGGCCTTATCTGCTCCTGCCAGAGGGTCAAAATACAT